CCCGGGGCTCCAGCCGGCGCTGCCGGACTCCCGGTCCTGGGCGGGGGAGGGAAATGATGGCCCTGGCGCCCACCGCCCGCAGGATTCCGGTCGTTTCACCTTGGGCGCCCTCTCTGCTCGCCAGTGGAGGATCCCGAACTTTGCCGTGGATCTACTTGTTTTTTCTCCCTAAATTCGTTTGTCCAGGCGTGTGGACACCTTCCGTGCTCCGCCCAGTACTTGCTGGCTCTGGGGACGGGCAGAACCCTCGCATACACCTCATCTTTTCTCACGCTCGAACGCCTTATCGTTGGCATGGGGGTGACACGGGCGGCCTTCCTTTCCCAGTGACTTGCATTTAGAGAGTTGGCGCTCCTTGTCATCCACCACACACATCCTAAAAGGAGCAAAGTATGATTTTTTTTCTAAGGGAATGTACCTCATATTAAGGGGTGGTTTGGGGGTGTCAAGGAGGGACCAGTTGGGGAGTCTTTCAGTCTGCTTTCTAATTAGCTTCGTTTTTCTCTCTGCCCGCCCGGAGGATAGAATTTTCCAGGTTAGTTTGCAGCTCGTCTTTTTTCACATTAAATGCTGATACCGTTGCGCACTGGAAACTAGTTTATTACCTTTACAAGAGTTGTGTAGCTGAGGAAGACTGACGAGCTTAGGAGCTGAGCAGGGCTGAGTCTCAGGAAGAGGTCTGTTTGAAGTCCTGTACCTACGCTTATTCTAGGCAATTCGCAAGTCTTCTACAAGGGGACTTCCAAAGTTTGTGGAAGAATGGGAGTAAAGTGTGAGTTCATTTTGTTGCCAAAATATGTAAAAATCCATGCATATTTAAAAATGAAATCCAAATGCTTGTTTTTTCATAATACACGTTTTCCTTGAGCTCTTTGAGCATTTCCTGTACTGATGCTGTGGGGCCTTTCGGTTGAAACCACATATTACACCTGGCGTGAGCTGTCAGCCCAGTGTTTGCTGCGCGTGAGGCTTTGAGCACACCACCAGTCCGAGAAGCCTGCCAGGCCATTCTCAGTATGGCATGACCTTACCACAGGAAATGAGCGCTTTTTTTGCGTTAGCGCGAAGCCATTCCTCCCGGGCAGAAATCGGGGTTTGAGATATCAGCCCACCCATCCGCCTGGTCACAGTTGTCTCCATTGGTCAGATCCTCCACCCTTAGAGAAGGAACCTCCCAGAAAATGACCGTCATCTCCAGGACAGAAAAGGCCTTTGTCACTGTGATATTCCTCTTACAGCGTGAGTGTTTTTGTTTTATTTATTTATTTATTGAGATTTTTTGGTATAGAGAGCATGTATTCACCGGAGAGACAGAAAGGGAAAAATCACACACACACACACACACACACACTCACCCCGGGGAGACGGCCACACTGCAATTCCTTCTCCTCTATCTTCTCTCGGGACTTTGGGCGCACAAGCGCATGTGCCTGGCGTGAGTCGAGCCACCGAGTCTGGGACTCAAACTGCCGTTGGCTGTGTGGAACTCTAGTGCCAGAACTGCTTTGCCTCCTGCTGGCCCCCTAATTTAAAATTAAAAAAACAAACAGTGGGTCTCAGTGGTCACTCATCTGCTTTTCTACCCCATAGTCCCTGTTCTGCGTGTTAAATTGGGCTTTAAATTGCTCTCGTCATCAAGTTTCTTCTAGGCAGCTGATCCCCAGCGGCTAGCTCTAGTCCAGCCGAGGCAGCCCATCCCTCATGCCACTATCTCTCAGACTGTTTTCGAATTTCCCTTTGCTGTAGCGGGTTCTCCCGTGTGTGACGGGGGTGGGGGGGTGCTCATCAGGACATCACCGTGGTGTAGCTGCTTTTCAGGTTTACTACTACGTTTGATTTCTGAGTTGTAAAACTAAAGTTCAGAACATGAAAGTAATACAGCAGATCCAGTTTCCGTCTCAAGATAGTTGATGTAAGTCAGGGTTCGTTTTAGTCACAGATAATTTGTTAGAAAGA